ACATTAACAAAACACTTCCATTCAGCGGGTGGAAAATGTCCCCCCACCTACCCTCATATTCCCCCCAGGCCAGGTGATCTGCAGCCGCAGCCCCCTCCCCGCCCCCCTGCCGAACAGTCCACAACCGGCCAGCTGAGCTCCCGGCACTGTCAGGAAACCACCAACACAAACCCAATTTCCTGAGGGCAGAAGCCAAAACCAACTGTTGGGGGTGGTGTTTACCAATAAGGCTTTAACTGTGAGGTTTAAGGATATGGCTTGGGGTTGAGTCGCAGCAGAACGGTCGGTGTTCACTGAGTAGGATTGCCAGCACATTTGAAAACTTGGGAAAGCACTTCGGAAATGCTGGATCACAAAGAGGATCATTCAAGATCAGGGTTCTTTTTTGCTTTTTACTAGAACAGCGGCAAAAAACTGATAATACAAGGGCTCAGTACTAACAAATGGAAATAAAGACAAGCATTATAAAGAATTGGAGCTTTCTGTAGCAGCAAAAAAACTAATAAAAATATAGTCAAAGCCTATAAAAAGTGTGGCTTTAAATAACTGCAAAAAGGACTTTTACAATCTCACATGAGAAAAGACGGAGAGACGATGGCAAACAGACTCCCTGTATCTGCCTTATCTCTATCCAACGACAGCAATCCTGGCCAAAATTAGTAATGCTCATGCTTTTATTTACTCACAAAATCCCATTACGCCCATGGCACAGTGGGCAAAAATGCTTTTTATGCACATTACTGCGGCTGCAAATAAGATAAGACACCACTCCTGAGAGGGAATATGTGACTGTGTGAGAGCAAACTTGCTTTGAATGTTGTTAGGCTATTCATCAATCATAAACAATAGACAGACATCTGAGACTGGTGGTCAGTTTGTTAAATGTTAGGAGTACTGATGAGAAACAGGAAAGAATATGTCTCTCGCTCTGAGAACCCATGTGGTTGAAGACATGGGTGGGTCAAGTAATTGGTAAAGTAGCATCATGCAATTAATGTTCTTGCAATACATAATTAATCATTTCACACAGAAATAAGAAACTTACACTTTAAGTAGACAATTCTTTCCTTCATTTAGTCAATCACACATTGTCCTTACAACTCTAGTCCCCTCGATTCTTGTTGGCTCAGCCTGTTCTGTCAGGATGTGTTAACATGTTTGTTTCCCTCAATCCTCATCAAGGCTGCTTTCTCACAGAGGACCATTAAAATCAGGGTCCTGGAGGAAGATTATTTTGACAACTGGAAAGCATTAGTGTTTTTTTTTTTCCTCCACCAAGAACTGTGGTCTTTATTTGTACCTTAGAGGACTTTGGACTGCTACTGATGGATGAACTGCAGACCAACACCCCCCCTCAGGCTACCTATCTTCCTTGGACAAATACTCATCAGTTCTTCTAGAATTATTACAAAACTGCAATGAAAGTGACTAAAGAGAGGTGACAGGGAATAATGAAGGTCTTGCACTACCTTCTGAAAATGAATCATAATATCTTGTAGGTCAGCAGTAAAGTTGAGTAAGAAAGACATATGAAGCTGCAATTGCAGACTAGTGACTGTAATCTCATTCAGGAAAAAATAAATAAATCTATGTAAAGAAGACAATGCACAGCTATTACAGTGTTACAGCTATTATTTAGGCAATCTGGTACAAATGGTTCATTTTCTCTGACTGTGCGTTTTGTGATTGACTACCTATTTATGTTCCCCAAACTCAAGACATTTCCAAATTAACAAAAAAAAAAAAACTGTCAGCAAACAAATGGGTAAAAGCAATCAAGTTGAGTTGTGGTAAAATTAGTGAGCACACACAGTATTTTAACCCTTAAGTAAAACAAACAACATCACAGCTGTGTTACAGTTGTGGAGGTCAATTTGCAAGACATTGTTTACAGTGGAAACTCCTCCTGTCACAGTTACACATAAAAATAAAATATAACTCATTTAGAGAAGCAGCTTGCGATTATAAAAAATACAAGTTTGGCATTTTGTATTTGCATTTTTATGACAAAGAGTAAAAATGCTGTCAGCATCATTAACTACCTGCTAAAAAAAAAAATCCCCAAATCTCTCCTACATCCCGGTCAGGCTCTAACAACTGTCTGTAAGAATGAAGTCCTTCTGTGAACTGCTGTATAGTTGCAAGTCCTGAGGTTCATTACTGTAATCCCAATTTAAGAGCCTGTACAAAGCTAATTGCAACAGCTACATGACAGCTCAATCACTCTTCACCCACACAAATGGGTGGGAAATCATCATTTGTTTTATGCTGGATTTATTCTCTTTGCTTGAACATGATCTTTGTTTTGTAGACAGCAAAGGGAACTGTACAACTATTTGCACAAAATATACATATGTATGCCTAATTGAGGTACTTCTTGCTGATTAACACCTGCAGTCAAACATACTGTGGCCATTTATGTAACAGGTAAATCCTACAGATTTTCCTTTCCAACCAAATATTTGTTATGTAGAAAAGAAAGGGAGTAATGCTGGTCTAGATGTCCTGAATATATTTGCCCCCACCAATACTGTCCTTCCTAACATCACTACTGCTGCTCTGTCCCTGTGGTAAACATAACAGAAGCAATTGATTACACACTGATTTGACTTGGCTCAGATGTCTGAAGGTCAAGATGGATAAACATGCTGTGTTTAAAACCAAATCACTGGTCACACTGACACACTCAGTCAGCTGTACTGACAGGTTAAAACTGTTATTGTTGTTTTTTCCACAAGCCTTGCTCCACCAACAAGTCTTTTGAAACAATACTAGTTTCCTTTTCATTTGTGCATGCCGTGCAGCGCACACACACATGCACCTTCTTACACATAGGCAGCAATGAAAAACTAAAACTTTTAAACCACTACACACACACACACAAAAAATTTCTGCCACTCAAGCAGACAACTTTTAAATAAGGTAGTTTATAATGGGGTCACAACTGAAATTGTCCATACTTGACTCTTTGGGTTTACAGTAATCATCTACTAATCTGGCTCGTTTACAGACCCCAGAGGAATAGAGCTGGTTTCCTTTGAGCTACCTGCCAACATAATGTGACTATCTCAAGTGGTGTGGAAATATGCAACCTAGGTGTTTTAAAAGATAATTCAAAGCCATAAAGCCATTCCCTTTGAAAACAACAAGATTGCGGGTCCTTAAATCTTGACCGATAAGGTTTGGACGAGATAACAGAAGTAGGCTTGGAGCGACGCAGGGCTCACGCAGGACCCTATCTTTGCACAAACCAAAAGGTTTAGAGCAGCTGTTTCAGATGGGACATTTGCCCCACAATAGATATCCATTGTCCATGAAGACAGGAGAAGCAGTGTGTGTCTTTGTACATGCATGATAAACAGCGCCTGTACTTGATCTTGGCTAAGATGTGCTTCAGGGCAATGCGGCTACCCAGGCACAAGTGCCCTTATTCATGTTTTTAGAGGACTTTTTAAAAGTAGCATTCCTGACTTCACAGGGAAAGATAAACTGCCTCATGCAGAAACCTGGGAGCCAGAGGAGTCTTTGGGCCTTTGGTCTTTAACCCGGAGGTCCCAGCAAACACACACATATACAAACAGATGCTGAAAAGCATGTAACAAGATGCCCAATTGTCACTGAAGATGAGGAATTGCCACTGGATATAATGGTTGCAATATACTGCAACGAGAGCCCAAATTTTGATTGCGAGCATAGAGGGTAGTGTTGTTTATGAGTCAATTGTGTCATTCAGCTCGGTAAGTGCTGAAGTTCCCTAAACACTGAGGGATGCTTCATAAAAATGCCCCAAATTGGCTCATTTCCTAAATGAGCTGGCAGACAGGGTTTCGACTGTTGTCAGTCGTACCCTGGGGAATGAATTAATTTACAAGAAATTTAATTTGTGAGCGATGGCGAGCAACACAGAAAGAGGAATTAGGACATTACCTGTCACAATCTGATTGAATAATGCAGAGGTTTATTTGTTGTGACATGTGCGAGTCTATTTGTTTGCTCAGGCTTAAGGGACTGTTTGTTCGTTCTAACACTGGAAACATGAATACATTTTTAGATAACTACATTAGAGGACGCTAGTGTAGTATTTGTGTGTCAGAAACTGTGGATGAGTTGACTGAAAAAGATGACGGTAAGACAGTTTTGAAGGGCATCAACTTAAAAATTAGGGTATATACAAGAAATTACACAAATCAGCTTAAGGTTATCGGGGGTCAACACTGATTTCAAACTAGCATAAACTTACAAAGACAATACAGAACACTTTCTATCCTAGGATAATTCCCTTAAAGCAAAGGATGTCCCCCTGACCAAAAACTGAAACACTTTTAATTAAATGTTTGTGCATGCACCTCCTTCTGCAGTTGTAAAACACCTGTTAACTTATTGCAGCCACAAGCCTAATTGAACATTAGTCAATGTTATAACTAGATAATACTGAAATACACAACAAATCTAAACTCAAGTAGGCGTTCATTTTGGCTGGTGTGAAAGATCATGTGAATGTTTAATTCATGAACTGCATAAACAATCCTAATCATGTTATAACGTGATGTCTGGGGACTGCCTCAGCTAGAAGTGCTGGTGGTCTGTTGTTCCATTAGTTTGCAGAGTGGGCTGCACGGACCCTCCGGGGGGCTTTAATGGGCGAACAGGGTCTCCCCAGCAAAGAAAACAGGGAGAAATTCTGATTGATTGTTTGCTTGCTCACAGTTAAAGTTATAAAAAAGGCATAGCTACTGTGACAGCTGCCCTCACTCCCCCCTGTTGGACTTGATAGACAATTATGCAACTCAAATCAGAACCACAAAAATCCTCTCTGACTGGATTCCTAGAGAGAAAGCCGTATCAACAGGACTCAGTCCCTCACCATTTGCCTCACACACGCACTCAAAAGAAAGTTTGAAAGTTTCTGTTGTTGTGCACCTTCTCTACAAACATTGTTATCCCGTTATGGACTGGTCAATAAATAGGCTGCTGGGGGGGCAACTAAGCGCTTTACTTACAAGGAAACAGTCCGGACTGGAAGGTCCAGAGGCGTAGCCGTCAGCTCCAGGTCGCTACAGTCCACTGAATCTCCACTGCAGGTACAGTTCTGGGCACAGGGCAGATCTGAAGCCAATCCATAACTGATAGTCAGTTCGACCGACAAAATTAAATAAAAAATACAACGAGACATATATCCAAATCGTCCCAGGAACGCCGCCATTTTGTATCCAGTTTTAATAGCGCGGCCGTTGAGCTTTTCTCCTGGTGCCCCCGCGAAGTGTAATATTAACGTAGCTTCGGAGAGACGAGGGGCTTTTCGTGGCACATTAATTGTCTTCTTGTGACACGAAGGTTTAGCTGAAACAACTTTGTGGGAGTGAAACGTTTTCCGTCCCACCGACGTTCATTTCTGACACAAGTCCCCACTCCAACTTTCTCCTCCGGTGTCCGACGCGGGCTACAAATCAAAGGTAATTCACAGATTAACCGCCGTAACACGGCAGAAGCTAACGTCGCTTTAAACTTACATTTAAGTTGCGAGAGTGTGTCCATAAAAGGCTAAAAAAAAAAACTTTCTGACGACACGTTTGAAAACATGCAACAGCAAAAAAAATGTTAAAGGACACTGCGCCCGGACAGCTCCTAAAATATCAGCAGCGGAACTGTTTAGAACTTAAACTAAGAACACACGGAAAAAAGAAGAAGACGTGTGGCGGTGTTGTTAAATTGTCCACAGCTAACTTGTGAATAAGTTAGCAGCCGCAGAGACGGTGCCGAAAAACTCCAGCGTTTGGTGTGTGAAGCCCGAGAGCTGCGTATCGTCCAAACCCCGAGCAGCGCTTCAACCGCAGCCGCCGACTACATCCAACTTTCATCCGAAGCAGCTCCACCGACAGCTTATCAGGTGCAGTCTGCGGTCACAAAATCTCGACGATCCGATTAATAGCAAAATAGAGTCCCCCCCCTCCTCCTTCCGACCGTGCACCACCACCATGAGTTTTTTCCTTTCCTGAGTTACTTTTTCTTTTTTTTTTCCTCTTCTCTCGCTCCGTAGTCCCACGTTGGAAGCACAACAGCGCTTCCAAGGTGGGGTGGGAGGGGGTAGAGGGCGGGGAAAATCCTCCCATCGCTCGCTCTGATTGGCTGTTACGGTTTGACGGACGCACCTGATTGGTCGCTTTGGGTTCTCCGCGCAGCGAAGAGTCGGAGAGCTTTTTGAGCGGCTGTCAATCAGCGGCCGCCCGCCCCGCCCATGTTTCCCACCCCGGGGTGTGAAACCGCACCACCTCCTCTCACTCTCACTGCTTCTTAAAGAGACAATCGCCCAGATCAAGCTCTGTAATCGCATTATAACAAGCCATAATAACATAATTGGTTTGAATGCCCTAACAATTCCGTTTAAAGTGTTTGTGTCAGTGGGGCTGACATCAAGATTTGCATGTAAAAGAAGAAGTCAGAGAGGGAGTAATAAACACATATGTTTCCGACAGTGTTCACACAGGGCATTTGAAGGAGAAATCAAGCAAATGGTTGCACTTTTTATATATACAGTAATCAGTAACTCTTGTGTTTCTAAGTGCACTTCTATCAACTGATTTTAACCTTTAAATCCTCAGCTGTGGAATGGATGATATTCAGCAGCCACAGATGGTTCAGCTTTTTTCGGCCTCAGTCTAAAATATTTATTTAGCTTGCATGTTTTATCACTAAAGTGTGTGTGTGTGTGTGTGTGGTGCATGTCAAAGGGCTGCAGCTGCTTTGTATCTTCTCTTGATGTGAGCCTAAATTCACATCAAAACAGCTCAAAATGCTGTGTCAGAAAAGATCAAATTCCAACTGGAGACGTGAGTTCAGTTGACAATGTGCATTTGATGGACAGTAAGTGCATTTGCAAAAATATGGTACTTAGTTACAACTCATAAAGAAAAAAGCATATTTGAGTGTCATTAATGAAAGGAAAATACTTTGCTTTGCAGATCAAGTTTTTCATGCAAAGCATTTAACCTTTCAGTAGAAGTGTTGGAAGGCTGATGCAGATCATTTACTTGAGAAAAAGTGACAATAACATAGTGCAGAAACTGCCGAGGTAAAAGAAAATAAGTATTAGAATTAAAAGTACCAGAATCGGGCTACTCATGCAGAATCACCCATTTCAAAATAAAATATATAAATTAACTGAATTCTAATTTTTGATACGTCATTGTGAACAAATCACTGACATTGCAACTCCTAGAAATTGGGATGATTTTAACTACTTTACATACTGCAGTAATTAACAGTATATAAGCCACGATTTAGTGTTATACATGCATGAATGTGTGCAATGTTCAAATAAAGTTTTTCATGAAAGCTGATTATTATAACTGTAGCATCCACAGCTTGCAAATAAATATAGCTGAGAAAAAAATATTTCATTTTTGTAGCAGAGTAGAAATATAAAATTGCATAAAGTGGAAATGCAAAATACAATAACCTCAAAGTTGCACTCAGTGCAGCACTTAAATAAATGTACTCAGTTACATTCGACCACTGCGCCGCACATATAAAGTAGTTGAAACTGGCTCGTCGTTGTCCATGTGTTAAAAAGTCCATCACACTATATAAGCAACAAAAATTCTACATAAGTTATTGCATCGCTAATAATATTAACGGAACAAAATATATGTAAAAAGAAGACATATCTAAGGAGCTATTCTCTAAAATGAACATTTTTACTTTGATAGTTTTTGCTAATGACACTTTTCTCCATATAGATTTTGAGTCCAAGACTTTTATTGTGTGTTTTAAACTGTCTCGATGCCGTTTTATTTCAGTCAAGAATCTCTTTCACTTCTGTCTGTGAGTTTCATGCAAAAAAAACCCTCAAATGTTTTGTGCAGGTGTGCTGAGCACGTGCATATGCAGTTGTGTGCTAACTAGGTGTGCATAATTGTAAGAGCAAACACACTCATTCATGTGTCTCTGTGTGTTTTGTGCATCAGGAATGATCTTTTTACCATCTGAGCATGCCCTGTAATGGCCACATGATCGCACAAAATTCCGTCCAAATGTTGAAATCATGTTTGCCTGTTGTCTGCAAAAAAATAAATGCACATCTGTTATAAATCAATGGTCCCGTCAGGCTCCTGGCCCCCATGAACACTTTTTCTCATCACGTTTTTTTTCTTGGCACTGACAGATTGTATTGATTGACTTTTTCAGAGCCATTGTGATCGCTTTGCGTTGGGAGAAGTCCCAGCTTTCATTGCTATTAATCACAGTAGCGAGGACACAGATATTCACACCTGCAGCACTGCAGGCAGTTTAGTGGCACAGTTCCTTGTTCCCTTTCCAGTGAATAGACGAAGGTTTCACATTGCATCATGGGTGTGTGAGTCAGCACGGTAGCCTACAGGTGAGGCCTCTGGCTCTTGGAAGCAAGGAAAATATCTGAGAAATGAGACCCTGTTAAAACATGACTTCACTGGTGATGGAAAACTGAGTAATGGAGGATAACCAATTTCTATGGTTTGTCCTATAAACCCGATCTGCTTTGAGACATGAGAACTGTTTGGAGCCGTTAAACGAAATGTTTTAAAAAGAGTATCTTCTTGATGGTCCTGAGAGCTTAATAACATAAAACTTAATAGAAAAGGCATGCAATTAGAAATAAATTATCTATCAAAGCTTGAGTAGGCAGTATTTTGGGAAAAATGTCACCCTGACCTTCCAGCATGATGCAATTCAAGCGGTCCAAGAGAAAACTAGACATCCTCTTGAGTATGTTTTCAGGGTTTAGAATATTGACACTGACACAGGAAGTTGTATACTTTTACATTTTGGTGTTTTTTGTGTTTTGGAGGGGGCTTTTTCCAGATTTCTGCCATCCTCATCTTTAAGTTCACATGAATGTATTAAACAACATAGAAAGTGTCTTCCAGCAACTGAACTAACACTTGCTTTAGTATAAGTATCTTAGAAGTTTAACTGCAAATAAGCATATTATCTGCAATGTGACTCAGTAGTGAATCTGTTTTCAACATATAACGAATTAAGATTACAGCTTACCCAACTCGTAAAGTCATACACATTACATTTCCAAGTTTTACAGGATTCACAGCTTCATTACGACGCTGAAATGCCATTTAATTTTCACTTCATTATTTCAAAACAGTTATTTTCAGACAGTCTGCGTCCTGTACGCGCCTTCAACACAAGTGACAGGTCCGCCACCACAGCAATCCAAAGTATGCTCAGCCCTACATTTTGATGCTCCTTCGACAGATAGGGCATGTGGACCAGGTACTTTGGAGGTCTATTTTCAGTTGACTGTTGACACGTCTTTTAATGTGATTTATTTGCTGGGTGGCCTCTTCTGGATGACTTGGCACACAAATAACTTTACTAATGCAGCAGGCAAATACCAGGTTTGACCAGTGCACCGAGCTCACAAGAAATATCTGCACATCAGCGCTGAAGGTTGGAGCTTGCCATCTTTATCCAGCTTCTTGTTGTTCATTGTGTTTGAAAGTAGATCATTCCTGCCTTGATAGCGTATACTGGGACAGTGTCTTACTGATGCAGCAGAAAATAGTTTCGCTTTGCATTGGACGAACAGCCAAGGAAAGAATTCCCATCGTAAGGAAGGCATTAACAGCTTTTGCTACCATAGCTGCTACACTCTTCATACTCACCCCGTGACCACTCGGTCCGGTGTGCTGCTGTGTGAAGCTGTGACTGATGAGAATAGTGGACGTGAGTCTGTCATGAGAGTGCATTATAAAGAGGATAATGACTGCACCAGATGAGCTCTCGTCTTCTCCCCACATGTATGTTTTTAACAGCATCCATATTGGTGTTTGTACAGCTGGAATAGAATGAAACTGTCAGTGCAGACATGGCTGAAGATCTCAGGGCTGGTATGAGAAAAGTGCAAGCAGTAGCCTCTAAGGTGTGTGTGATGAGTCAACTACATATTGTTCCCATTTCATTTTTTTTCTTTTTTTTTTTCAATGCTGGAGGGGGTACTGTGATGGCGAGAGGCCTGGAGCGATTCATCACGCTCGTCTTACTGGAATCTTCAAAGATAACAAACCATCTGCTGCAGCTATTCATCAACTATAAAACGGAGAGGCGTGAAACCCGGCCAACTCATCATACTGGGACTGGATGGCTAACGGGTGTTGCGGGAGTGCGGAGATGCCTTGCTAATAGGAAGCAGAAACAGTTTGGGCATTTATGTCGATACCAGGCCGTCTGCTAAGTGGCGTGATACGTGACCTACAAGGCGGAAGACATGAGTGAAGAGGGGAAGGGGAAAGCAAGACAGATGTAGAGAGGGAGAAAATATGAGAGGACGGTATGCAGTATGAAAAATCCTGTGCATACAAATCCACTTGTCTAACATGTGTTGGACCAAAGGTTTTTTTTATCAGAATTAGGGATAATCAGTGATTAATTGATTATCAGTTGAACAGTTCCAAAGTGTACGAACAGAGCAGAGGTTATCTCACTGCATGGGGCCTCTGTCTGTTCAGTGCAATGTAGTCACAGGTGTGCGCGCTGGCTGTTGTCCCATCCGCTTACACTGATAAATGCGAATTCTTTCATGTTTGTTTTATAGCCGGAGCGGTTTGTGAACGCTGATCCCAGGATAAAATTGAAATTCGGTTTCCTTATTTCTCCTACATTTTCTTCCCATTGCAGTTTGCAAATCCTGGCACCGATTGCTGGTAGATGTACGCGCTGTACACACAGACAAATACACAAAATTTGACAACACGCGATGCTGCACGGTGGACAGACACAACGTAAATGTGCTGCAAATACAGAAAACAGAAGTGCTACAGGCCTAACGGCAGATATCTGGAATAATAACTGATTACTATAATAATGATAACTATAATAATGACTAACTAACTCTTGCAATCAGTATGTTTAAACAAAGAAACACACAACGCTCATTTCCCAACACCTCTGTCAGATAGTCGACTTCAGTAACTTAATGAGTCAC